ACTAAAGAGCGATTATTGCTGCTAATTGATGATATTGAAATGATATCTAAGGAACTAATAGAACAAGCGCATCAAAAAATATCCAGCACCGAATTGGCGGATTTGCTCGACTTGTTGGTTTCCAAAGATGAGGAGTTTAGAAAAATGTTGGAGTTGGCAGAGGAGCAGGCTAAAGTGGAGGAAGCAATGGACAAATTGCGTGCTAAAGTCGAAATACATGTAAGTCTAATCACTGTTCTCTGGTCAGTGGTCTAATTGTTACAACTGATATATATCTGATCTAAAACAAAATTTTCATTTTAGGATCGTGAAATACAAAAACTACAAAAATCACTGAAAGACGCAGAGCTTATACTCTCCACAGCCATATTTCAGGCACGCCAAAAGCTGGCTAGCATTAATCAGGCGAATAAGCGCCCGGTGTCATCTGAGGAACTCATAAAATACGCACACCGCATTAGTTCAGCAAATGCAGTGAGCGCTCCATTGACTTGGTGCATTGGGGATCTTCGAAGGCCATATCCTACAGACATTGAAATGCGGAATGGACTCTTGGGTAAATCTGAACAGAACATAAACGGCGGACTTGTCACGCATCAAAATAGCGCTATTCAGTCAGATGCCCAGCGCAATTTGAGTGGTACTGGAGGCAGCAGTGCGGGCAGTGGAAACGAAGTACCAAACGCATTCCAAAATCAATTCAGTTGGAATCTTGGTGAACTGCATATGATGGGAGCATCTGGCAACTCTGTAGCTCTAGAAACACGTGCACACAAAGAATCTTCAGCTCAGGATGATGTTGAGGTCATGTCCACAGACAGCTCAAGTTCTAGCTCAAGTGATTCGCAATAGATGCACAAATAGTAATAGTGTAGCAATTAAGATAGTTATATATATATACGTAATATTAAAAAACAAAAATATTTATATATGTAAATGTCTACATAGGTAAACATTTATTTAAAAATTATCCTTTCGCGATATCGATGGCGACTTTTGGTGTTCGCGTAGTTATCGACATTCACACATCGTTACGCGAGAGAATGGCAATTAATTTGCTGGCATCGCCAATCACACGGAAATAATTCGACAAATTTTAGTTTTTTAATGGAACCAGAAAGGCTTTAAATTTTGCCTGTATATGATATATAACTCGGTTTACAATAAAACAAGTCTATTCTGTAATGTGTGAGTGTGTGTGTTTGCGGTATAGCTAATGCAAAGGCCTTGAAAATTGTTACGAAAAACTGACTGACGACGTACGGAGTGGTGAGGTACGTGCTTTAAGAAGAAGAGAAGCCTCGCCAGCGCAATATTAGAGGTGGTGGTCAGGGAACAGCAGCAGTAGAAGCAGCAGAACCGCAGCACACCCCGCATTAAAGTTACACACACACGACACTATTTTTCCATTAAATTTCTGGAAAATTGCACATCGTGCGGATTGACTGCAGCATGATCCATTGCGTGTATCTAGTTTACGTATGTAAAGCATAAAAAGGCCCCTAGAAAACTGATACTGTTACCGAAACCGGATTAAAAGTGTAACTAGGGCGCCTAGCTAAGAGAAAAGCTCGTGGCGTCGTGGCGTCGGAGCGGATACAGAGTTTCTACAAATAGTTAGACATTAAATTCAAAAATCATGATGATACAAGAGCCTGTACAGGTAAATCGATAGCAAACGATTACAGTAAAAAAAATCATACATTTTTTCTATATTTATTTTCAATCTGCTTTGAATAGGCCGCCATATGGCACTGTCTGAACCACTACGATAATAGGGATGCAGTTTTCCTGGCGGAACGCCTCTGCTCAGAAGGTTAGTAAAACCTTCACTTGTTATACTTACATATAAAAAAATGTATGGTTGATGTGCTTTGTTCTTGCAGTGGAAAGTGATGAGACAATATATTTGTTAGCCACCAGCTATTATCGTTCAAATCAATTGGATCAAGCTTATTGGCTGCTACAAGAGAAGTCGCGACGCTCCCCCCAATGCCGCTACTTGCAGGCCAAATGCGCCTACGAGCTGAAAAAGTACGCAGAGGCGGAAAGTGCTCTGGTTTCGAGTGGATTTGCGGATAGCAAACATTTCGATGAGCTGCAGCGTGAGTTTGGGGATATTGCCTGTTTCGCTTATCAATTGGTGGCGCAGATTTGTATGCGCACAGAGCGCCAGAAGCTGGCAGTGAATGCACTACGACGAGCGCTCAAACTGAACCCTTTCATGTGGCATGCGTTTGCCGATCTGTGCCTGCTGGGTCAGGACACGGATACCGCGGCAATATTCCAAATTCAAAGCACTGATGTGTTCAACACTTGCCAAGGCAGCAGCGCCAACGCCAATTCGATGGTGCTGTTCAGCGGCAGCTCTGCTAACGAGCAGCAACAGCAGCTAGAAAATATTTTGCTAAACAATATAAGCAATAATTCACATTATATACTAAATACCCCAGTGGACCACAATCAGCAGCAGCAGCAGCAACAGCAGCAGAACAACAACGGCAGCAGCTTGGCCACCCTACAGAATCTGATGACACCAAACAACAACATTAACAACAACAACAATAACAATCTCAACAGCTCTATTACCATGCTGCGAGGTGGTGGCGGCGGTGGCGTTCAACAGCAGCAGAACACCAATTCAAGTATGATGCTGCTCGAGGACACGCCTATGGGTTATGCAACGCATGATGCTCCCACACAACTGCATCAACAGCACCCGCAGCAATTGTATGATGCCAACAGCGGCACACCGTTTCGGAAGCAATTCAAATATTTGTCTGCAATATCACCGTTAACTCCCAGCTTTGGCGTTATGCCGCTGACTAGTCCCTCCGATGGCGGCTCAGCTGTATTGCAAGCAAATTTGAGTGTGTCTGCGTATTCGCCATTGCCCCAAATGCTTGTGGAGGTTAATCAAGAGCCAAAAATGATGGGAAAGAAATTTAAGGCGCATGTTGGTGGCCTCATCAATCGTCAGGACAAGAGTAAACCCGCCGTTTTTACGCAGGCTGGCAATATAACGCCTCGTACACCAAACAATGTGGTGGGCAATGGTCCACCCAATCCTAATGCGGCGGTGCGTCGCAGCTCGCGGTTATTCAGCAATTCGGCATACTCGGTCAAGGAGAACAACAAATCGCCCAACATCACGAATAACAATAAATTTGTTCAGCCGCGATCGCCGCCACGTAAAACCAAATCGTCACGCATGACGAAAATCTGTTTAAGCAACGAGCTCATTGATGAGAAGTCGCATCACCATCTCGCCGAGAAGCTGAGCGAAAAGCAATCACGCAAGGAGAAAGAAAAAGTGGAAACAATCACATCGGCTGCGACAGCCGGCGGCAACAATCAAACAGGAGTAAACAATCGCAGCGCCGACGACGCCAAAGTCCTGCTAAACAATAGCCTGAATAATGCCCAAACACTGGCGCATCAGCTGCTAACCATGAAAAAGCAATCGGCAGACGGTCTAATGCTGCTTCTCCGGGACCTTGCCGAGGGCTACAAACTACTGTCATCGTTTCAATGCAAGGCGGCTATTATGCATCTGGAGGCAACTATACCAAAGCATCATCTGAACTCGAGTTGGGTGCAATCGCTGATTGGCTTGTGTCGCTATGAGCTGCGTGAATACGAAGCTGCTGTGGTCATATTCAAGCGGATACACGAAATGGAGCCACGTCGCCTGGAGTACATGGAAATCTATTCCACATCCCTATGGCACTTGCAAAAGGAGGTGGCGTTGTCGGCCCTGGCGCAGGACCTGATTGCACAGGATAAGCGCAGTCCGGTTACGTGGTGTGTGGCTGGCAATTGTTTTTCACTGCACAAGGAGCATGAGACGGCCATCAAATTCTTTAAGCGTGCGGTGCAAGTGGATCCCGACTTCGTTTACAGTTACACGCTCCTGGGCCACGAACTGGTACTTACCGAGGAATTTGACAAGGCCATGGACTATTTTAGAGCAGCAGTTGTACGCGATCCGCGGCATTATAATGCCTGGTTTGGCATAGGCACCATCTACTCCAAGCAGGAGAAATACGAACTGGCCGAGCTGCACTATCTCAAGGCACTCAAGATCAATACGCAGAACTCGGTCATTCTGGTGCACATTGGAGCGATGCAGTTCTTTATGCAGAAGAAGGATTTGGCACTGCAGACGCTGAATACGGCAGCTACGATAGATCCGAAAAATCCTTTGGCCCGATTCCATCGCGGCTCAATATATTTCTCATTGGGCAAATATCAAGAGGCATTGCGTGAGCTGGAGGAGCTGAAGGAAATTGTGCCAAAGGAGTCAGTTGTATTTTATCTAATTGGTAAAATACACAAGACGCTGGGCAACATGGATTTGGCACTGATGCATTTCAGCTGGGCCACCGATCTGGATCCCAAGGGGGCCAACAATCAAATCAAAGATGCCTTCGATTCAATGGCGCATCCCAATTGCTGCCCAGCTAATGACAATGCTCTTGATGTTGACTTTGAACCAACATCGGAGCGTTCCGACGACTCAACGCAGGCGCAGCAGGATGTTAGCTACGACAGCGACTACTAAAAAATGTCTCCAAGTCTGAGCGCTTGTATATAATTACATAATTAATACATACATATTTGAAGGAGAAAAAAAAAACAATTATGAATTATATTGAAGTTTAGATAACGATTAGATTTAGGATATTTATAACAAAAACAAAAAATAAGATGAAGAAGGTTTAAACAATTCTCTCTGTCTCTGTGCACTCTGAAAGTCTTAGGCAACAAACAAAAATAATATACATTATATACCAATTACCAACTAAATTATACAAAATACAACAATTTAAATGATCGCTTAAGTTAAAAATCAAATCAAGAAAACCAAATGCAAATTCAAAGAAAACAATCAGTTCAGTTTCAAAAATGGGCGCGCAGTGACGTTGCCCACTTTCGATGCTCGATTGACGAAATTAATTGTAATCGATATCAGTTTTAGATTTGCCACTCGATGTGAATCAGGATTTAGATGATGCTTTCATATTTGATTATTTAAATTAAGCCTAAAGACGTCGTTTGGGGATGCGTCACTGATGCTCCACATGATAAATGACAAAATAATATACAAATTAACCTACAATTTTATAAGATTTTGTTGTAAGTTTATATGGACTTGGCTTTCCTACTAACTCCACCTCCTCTTCGCTAGACAAGTCATACGATTCATATCGCGATTGCTGCAGTTCATCCAGAGTCAAGCGCTCAGTTAACTCCAAGACGTTGCGCAGGCGCTCGACTTTAACGCCCAGCATGAATGCAATGTCGGGCAGCTGAGATTCCTGCACTCGATACTGGCGTGGCAATGCTATATTCAACGCATCTCGAATTTTCCTAGTACCAAACACCTCGGTTAGTGATTCACTTAAAGATGGCGTCGTTGAGCCCCACGATTCAACATTCGGTGGGGATGGTGAAAGCTTTTCGCTATCAGCAGATATCGAATCAGACATTTTATTTGATTCATCGACCATTGTTGCGGAGCTGACACGTTGTAATTCACCCGAAAGAATGGTTCCAGTCGCATATTTCGGTGCCGATGGTAGCTGATGGATAAAATGAGCTGGGTAACGCTCCGGCAAGAGAGTCTGAGTCAAATTCATACACTGATATGAATAAGATTGAGTCGAATTGGTAGCCACTGTGGAAACCTTGCGTGGGGCTACAGCTGCCAATGGATTAGTGGTCGTGGACTGCAAAATCCCTGCTGAATCTCTCTCTTTGCCGGCGTTAGAAGTCATAATTGGTTGTTGTTCGAGTTGAAGGCTTTGCACAGGCTTTATTTGGCTTTTAGAATGCTTTCGATTAGTCCCGGATTTAGACTTGGATTTGCCTGGCATTGATATTGCTATCTGCTGCTGGGAGCTTAGTTGAAAGCGGTCCAGAGGCAGTATTTCTGGCACCGGCTCAGACAGCGGTGCTGTAAGCGTCTGAGCTACCTTAGTCTTCCTTTGAGAGCGTCCACGTCTTTTGACCGACGCTGGAACCAGATCAATCTGTGTTGTAACCGCTTGAGCTGTCTCAGTCCGCTTTTTCGGACGCCTTTCCCTTTTTCTCGATGCTGAGCGAATGCGGCCAAAGGAAGTTTTTTCTAATCCATTATTCATTAATTCTGATTCCAGAGTTTTTTCTGGCGCTCCTTTGCTAGAAATTTTTGGTGTGTCTATATGGTTGGGTGGAATTTGAGCCAGTTGGCTACATTCTTCATCTATTTCCTCAAAGAGCTGAGGCGAGCCAGCTCTATCTTCAGCTGATGCAACTGTAGCACATTCGAGAGCATCCTTAGTAGAATTTTTCTCACGTAAACGTTGGGAGCGACGCAGCTGCGAACCCGCCTCCTCTGATTGTAATGCTATCAAGTATTCAAGCTCCGAGCAATGTGTAGTAGCTGGACTAATGTTTATTATTTCAGTCGACGTAATCATTGCTTAACAAATTTGTTGAATAAAATCCTTTTTTTTTCAAATTACCACCATTTAAAGAAAACAAAACCAAAGCTGCCGTTACAGTTACTCCATTCGTGTCACATCATTCAGCATTTGCTCGCAAGCAACAGACAGTCTGGCAACGCCTATAATTTTTCTTTTCCTTAGTTTGTTTTCGTCTGCCATTTGCTGTGTTTGGTACCGAATCGTTTGGGTGTTATATTTAATCTTTAACTGAAGTCGCATCGAAGTAAAACTGAATAATGCATATCTTAGATCTACCGGATACGGTGTTAATGGACATTTTCGAGCAACTCTCATACGATGAGGTAGCCAGAAAACGCGAGGTATGTAATAAAGCGCAACTCGTGATTCGTAACTAACTCCTAGACGCTTCCATAAACTTCTGCGATGTTCTAGGTTTGCACTCGCTTCAACTATATTTGCCAACAGGTATTGAACACGGGATTCAATAAAGTTGTACAGGAGCATGCCAAGAATTTCAAAAGGATTAAATCACTACTACCACGTCGCGAGTCAGAGCGTCGGTAGGTCATACAATATTAAACTGATTGTGGAATTTGATAAAATATCTCTATTATTCAGCAATCATATGCTGGCACGTCACTCGGATATCCTGACTTCCATCGAGACACGTATTTCAATGCTCACAATGACGTACTCCAAGTTTATCGATTTGAAGATATGCTGCTTTATACCCGGTCGCGTCCTGGATGAAATTAATAATATATTGAAACTGTTGGGAGGCACAACCAAGCCGTTACGTCCGCATGAAGTGCTGCAGGAACTGCGCGACATCTCCTCAATGGCAATTGAGCACTTTGATGAGAAAATTGCTATAAACTTTAAGACAGCCTTGAAAATGAACGAGTCCTCCAACGCACGCGTTGTTGTCTGTGGCGCCCTGGGTGACATCAGCTTCAATGGCGTCAAGGTCAGTGCTTTAAAGAAGATTCACCAGCAGCAACCGATGATCCAGCAGCCACTGGCGCACCAGGAACCGTTGCTTCCGCCAGCCCGATGTCACAATATGCATTGTATGAACGACAAAAATAATGCATTGCTGCAAGCATTGCAATTGGCCAAATCACTGCCCACCACCGATAATGTTAAAAATGCCACTGAATGTCATTGCAAATATAACTATCAAGCGAAACAGCTGCAGCGCCAATTGCAAACACAAAAGATGCTGACGATGAAAGTGCGCCTTCTAGAAAATTCACGAAGAGCGCAGGACCGACGCCTGCAGGAAGCGATGGGCAGCATTACAGAACTGGCAACCCAAGTGTTCGAACTCAAACGTCAACTCGAGGATGTCATGGCCAAAGGCAAGCCCATGGAGACCCAACCAAATGTTGCAAGTGGCGCTCTAAAGCGCTCAGCAAAGACTACCGATTGTTTGAAACCGACCAAGAAACCGAAGGCTTAGTGCTGCCTTATGTAGGCTGTAAAGATCGTACTTAAGATGTGGCCGTAGGTTAAGCACTGTACTTTCGAATACTATATACATGAATGTAAATGGATGTGATCGTGTGGTAAGATAACGTAGTCTCCATAAAGCTGCTGCCGGCAATTAGGATACGGATTAAATACATAGGTGTACTATATAGCAATAATCAGGCGAAAGTGAAAAGTTTACCGTGCAACTTGTAATATTTCGAGTTAAGATTTATTGTTGCACTTGTTAATTAAATATTGTATTACACTTTTACAACTATATAAATACATAGAACATCTATATTAAACTTCCCATTCATACCTCATTTGACTTGAAATATGGACTGTTGTCTAGTTACTTTTCATTACTATTTTGGGTTTGCTTTGTCAAGAGTTGTGTGATTGCGTGTGTGCTTATCCATTTACTATATATAGCACTGGTATTTGATAAATAATGCATACATGTATATTTAAAAAGTACATTACATCAAACTGGAACATCTATAAAATGTAACGCTATATCAGCTGCAAGATTTGCCAGGAGTTTAGGAAGTTATTCTTGCATTAGATTAGTTTGGTTATAGCGCGCTGGGCCAACTGCTATTTCTATTTCTATTGCTATTGCTATCTAAGAGTACGTCTCCCATTCATATCAGATGTCTATATGTTGCTTATAGTAATTGTTAATCGTACATATTTTAGTGTAAAAAAGGTAGTAGAAATTGCCACTCGTTAGCAGTGTGCTTAAATCTTTGTATTAACTGACGGCGAGCGCAAGCTCTTGACTTAATTGTAAGCTAACTAATTCCTAAGTTGATTCTTTCAGTATAAGTATATATACATATACAATCAATAACACACAGGATAAATCTATATATATATACTCAGTAATAACAAAAGAAAATGGAAAACAAAATCATTGCAAACGCGTTACTTAAACATTATTAGTTGCTATATACACCTATTGTTGATGCATTCCTATAAATATATATCTATACACGTATATGTATATATATATATATATATTTATGTTTGTATAAACTAGTCAAATTGCAAGCATTGCCACGATGAAAACCCTACACACACATATATGTATAAATCTATATATAATCTATATGCTACAAGATTTATAAATACATTTATGCATATATGCTATTTCCTATATACAAAGATACTTAAACACTGCTGTTTAAATCGTTTTAGATCGTTTATATCATAATTGCGCTCATTTAGTAGCGTCGCCGACGTTGCTACTTTTTCTTAACGGCTGCCTTGTGCTGAATCTTCTCCTGGAGCTGCCGTATCAGCTGTTGAATATCGTCGACATTGTACGCATAGATTAGTTTACATTGCTTGGCCTGAATGTTGCCGTTGTTGAGATTTTTGAGCGCATGCTGCAAACAGTAGACGTTGCCCTCCTCGGTGCGCACCATCGATATATACAGATTGGCCCGACATAGATCGCATTCGCTCTCAATTGATTTGTGCGGCGGTTGCTGTTGCTTCTTGGCCTTTTGACCCTTCTCCGCCTGCACTTTTTCGGTGGATGTGACGCCAGCGGCCTAAAAATAAATGCGAATTTTCAATTATCAATTATTTTTCTTGTCCATTTTAATGATGTCATACCCTGAGCTGCTCGCGTGCCGCAGATTCCTTCTCGCAGACCTCGTTTAGCATGGGCAGCATTTGCTGCAGTGTATCCGAATTGACGCGCTGATCGTAGCCTAGAGCGAAGAGCAATTGCTCCAGGGAGAACATTGCCGGTTCACAGCTCTCATGAATGTCCTGCAACGGCAAAACATATATTAAATGGTTTAATTTAGTTTAATATGCAAGCTATATTCGAGGTTTACCCTGAAATCATCCTTGGCTAAGTCAAGCCACGACATAGTTGCGAAATAGACGCTCTCAGAGACCACATAGCCCGTGGCAAGGCTGGAGGTATAGGCGCGCGGGAAAACTACAATGAACTCGCCCGGCTTCTGCTCGATGCGGCACAGCGAGACGCCGCGATCGGTGAGCATATGGGGAGGTACCATCACCGTATCACAGGGTAGCCAAATCGTCTTATTCTGACAGTGCGTCGGTATCAGCGACGTCAACGCCGAACGGAAATTGGCGCTCTGGTCGTCGGGTATGCCGTACCACAGCTTGGAGGCACCTGTATGCAGATACTCTATCCAGGACAGCCCATGGGGATCACGATACCAGCAACAGGCGGAGAAGAGCATGCCCACATGGAGCGTGGGCACTGTGACACCCATTACAGGTCCAAGTGAGCGCAGCACGGAGCCCGCATTATTGGTCAAAACCTTGAGATTCCACGGATGACGCCCATAGTTTGAGCCCTTGCCCTTGGGACCCGGACTAGGAAAACCGTAGCCCCAGCCCGAGCTATCAATGGAGCCCGAATGCACGCACACATGACTGTCGCGCACGGCTACATGGCGCCAGAACTCAGCCTCCACTTCGTTGACCGTCGGATCGGTGCTCTTGAACCACAGGGCCATGGTGTTGCGCGCTATCCGATAGAATTGACTGAGCGCCATGCTGCGGCCCTTGACAATGCACTCCATCGAAACGCCATCGATCTCTTCCTCCGACTCCTCGTCCTCGTCCGTGGATACATCGTCCTCCTCGTTTGAAACGCTCTCGGTACTATTCACAAAACGATCCGCATTGCGTCGAGCGCGTGCCTCTCGCTTCGCCCAATCCGCCTCGACCTCATCGAAGAGCTTCTGCCGCTCTGCCGGTGAGAGGGTGTCGTAGGGCAACAAGTACTTGCAGTAGATGTCGTCCAGCTTGGTCACACGATCCTGAGCGAGCTTCGGTATGCACATCTCTTCGGCCACGCGGGCCCATTTCTTTTTCTCGATGACCTCCTTGAGGCCGCCCAGCTCCTGCACGGTGTGATATAGACGCGGCAGATCCACCTCCATGCCACCAATCCAGGGCGCATGATTCATCACAATGCTCTGGGTGGCCAAGTACTTTTTGATCGCGCTCAGCTCCTTGGCACTGGGCCCCCAGCGGTGCAGCATCTTGTGCACATACTGATTGTACGCCGTGAAGCGCATCTCATCCGAGATGCGACACTCGGGCTTGAAGCTGGCCGGCGGTATGATCTTGCAGATGCCGAAGCGGGCAGCGATCGGTGTGATGCGCTCAATGAATTCAATGGGATCGGCGAACTCCTTCTCGGTGGGCTTAAATATAGGCGCCTCGACCATCTGGGTGGGGTCATCGTGTCGCGGGAATGCCGTATTATTGGCCATCTTAATGGGCGTATCATCCTTGTACTTCTTGGCCAGGGCTGTCGAGGCGGCCGTCACTGCAGCAGTGCGCGACTTGCCAGAGCCGGAGAAGAGCGAAGAATTCGAATTGACGCGAACCAGGCCCGTTGCTGCAGCGCCCGCCGCTGTCGCTGCTGTTGCTGCTGCAGATGATGTGCTGGCCTTCAGGCTGTTGGTGGCTGCTATGACGGCGGCAACGGCATCGCTGCTTGTATTGGCGGCATTGAGCAGCGTTTTCACCAGCTCATTGTCCGGCAGCGGCTTCGAGGAATTGGTGTCCATTTGCGCTTTAGTTACGAGCGTTGCCTGCATCACGACCTTCTGATTGGGCCCGTCAGGACCTTCGCGTCCCAGCTTGACGGCCACGCCTTGTATGCCGCCCTCACCACCACCGCTTGCACCCTGCAGCAGTGGTATATAGAAGGTGGCGCCTTCAGCATCAGAATCTCCACCTGTGCTGGCTGCCGGAGCTGCTGTTGCTTGTTGCTGCTGTTGCTGCTGCTGGTGTTGTTGTTGTTGCTGTTGTTTCTTTCGCGCTGCTGCTGATGCTGTTGCTGCTTTATTGGGCTTCTCCAGCTTATCAGTGGGACTGAGCGTCAACTGCACTGCCGTTGCTGCCGCCGCTGCAGCTGCGCGTTTTTTCGTCGGGGAGCGCTCGCTGAGCGCCGGCGGCGGCGCTGCTGTATCATTGTCTGCATTGCGACGACGATTAGTTGCTTTGCCCGCTGCAACAGTTGTTGCTGCAGCCCCACCTGCTCCAGCTGCTGCTGAATCCTCCTCCTTGCCAAAGGCATAAATAGAAGTTTTTTCGGCAACTTTGGTCGACTGCTGCTGCTGCTTGCTTTCTGCCTGCGCTTGGGCCTTGGCCTTGCTCTGGCTCTGGTAAACAGGCGTTCGCTTGGTAGGCGTGGCTGGCGTTGACGCTCCTGCTTTAGTGTTGCTCGGACTGGGCGGTGGCGTTGTTTGTTTTGCAGCAGCTGCTGCTGCTGCCGCTGCGGCGGCATTTGTCTGCTTTTTATTAGCTGCTTTCTGTTTACTGGGCGGCGGCGGTGGCGGCGTGGGCGTTGCACTGGGCGTGGGCGTGGCAGTGGCGCTTCGTTTGCTGCCCGCTCCAGCGGCTGCTGCAGCAGGCTGCGTTGCAGCTGCCTTCGCACTATTGCTGGCTGCATTCTTCGGCTTTTTGTCTCCCGCCGATGTTTCCAGCTGCGATTTCTGGGTGAGATTCACGGGCGTCATGCACTTGTCAAAGTCCAGAGTTTCGGGCTCTGCCTCTGTATCCTTGCGATTGCCAGCAATTGTTGCCGCCGTTGTAGCACTGCTGACTAGCACTGGGGTCGCCTTCAGGGACGGGCCCTTGGCTGACCAGGCGCTCTCGCTCTTGCCCAGCTCGCCGCGCGTATTCTTTGAGGAGCTGCTGAAGCTGGTGCTCTCTTTGTCATCGCGGGTGGTGGGTCCTGGTGGAGTTTGCGCCTGCTGCGGCCGCAAGCTGTCATCGTAATCGTCGTCCAGATCATCCTGGATCTCGTCCGGATTCGAGCTGCACTCGATCAGCCACTTTTGTATCTGCTCGTGCGTCATGTTCACCTTGGCCTTGCGTCGCTCCTTGCTCGACAGCTGATCGCCAAAGTATCCCTCGGTGGGCACCACCGGCCCCAGCACCGGTTTGTGTATGGAACCACATTTTCCCAGCGTGCATTTGGTGTTGTCCGGCCCGGAGCTTTGGGCCAAACTAACGCTGGCTATGCCAAAAATCTTGCCCGACTCCTCTTTGCTGGGCATGAGCGTGGCCTGTGCCAGGATGCTGCCGATTTCATCTTTCAGCGGGTCCGCATTGCTGTTGCTGGTCTGTGTTGCAGGTGTTGCTGTGGTTGTTGTTGCTGCTGCTGCAGCTGCAACTGTTGCTGCTGTCAGCTGCAGTTGGCTTGGCGCTGTCGACGCTTGCTGCTGTTGTTGATTCTGTTGTTGTTGTTGTTGTTGCTGCTGCTGCAACTGTTGTTGCTGTTGCTGATGTTGGTGTTGCTGCGAAGCAACTGCAGCAGCCGCTGCAGCTGCTGCCGCCGCCGATGTGGAGGCCATCGGCGTAGGCGTGGCACTTAGACTGAGATTGAGACTTTGACTCTGACTAACTGTTACGCTCTTTGGTGCGGCTGCCACAGGCGTCGTGAGGCTGTTGATCGTGGAGCGCGCTGCTGTCGTAGCCGTAAAGCTGCTGTTGCTCAGCGCATTGCTCGCTGCCACGCTGCCGATGCTGTTGTTGTTGTTGACAATGTTGTTGGCGCGCGGCAGAACACTGCTGCGCTCATATTTGGGCGTTAGAAAATTGGGATTTATCTTGGGGCACTGATACGCCTCAATGGGCGGCGGATAAGTTGTGGGTGGCGTCTGATATTTCAACGGGGATGTCACGCTGCTGGCTGTGGCCAATGTTGATGATAGTTGCTGCTGCTGTTGATGTTGGGGCGTCTTGTTGCCAGCAGCAGCTGCTGCCGCTGCCGCCGCCGCTGCAGCAACTCCAAATGTCGAGGGTCGCACATACGGCGTATGATAATGCGGCGATGCTTGCGGTAAATACGATGAGGTCTTCGCGAATCCCACAGCTGCCGTACTGAGACCGCCGCCCGCAGCACCTGGAAGCGCATACGTGGCGGGCACATTAAGTATCTTCGACGTGGGCACCGGCGACTTCTTCTCCATGGCCTTCAGTGTGGCTGCAGCCGACGCATAGCTGGGCGGCGATATGGAGTAAGGCGTGGGCTTGGCGGTCAGTGGCAGCATCGTTAGCTGCGTGGTGCCTTGCGCAGTGGGTGGACAACTGGGTTGCGGGGTCAAAGGCTTAAGAGTGGGTGATGTTGTTGTTGTTGCAGCCACTATTGCTGTTGTTGCTGCTGCAACTGTTGCTGTTGTTGCTACTGCCACCGTTGTTGTTGCTGCTGCAGCTGCTGCCGCTGTTGCAACTGTTGCTTCCGCTGCTGTTGTTGTTGGATCTTCAGCTTTGTTGTTGCTGGCTTTGGTTGTTGTTGCAGGTGTTGCTGCTGTTGTTGTTGTTATCGTCACTTCTCCTGCTCCTGCTGCTGTTGTTGTTGCTGCTGCAGCTGCTGCTGCTGCCGCTGCTGTGGCTGTTGCTGAGGGCACTTTAATGGCCAATGGCTCGTCATCTGAGTCGCTAAAACTCTTTTCCAGCTTGCGCTTGGTTTCGTTTAGCTCCTCATTGATTAAAAAATCCTCCTCCGCATCGGAGTCGTCTTTCTGTTGCTGCTGATGTTGTTGTTGCTGCTGTTGGTTTTTTTGTTGCTGCTGTTGGTTTTTTTGTTGCTGCTGTTCGGACTTGGCTTTGGCCAGGGCCAGTGCACCCTTTTTTACCAGCATGCCCTCAATTTGTGGCTTGCCAGTCGGAGCCGCTGATCCACTCGCACCACCCGTTGCCCCTTTTGCCTGCTTGGGCGGACGACCACGTCTCGCTGGGGCTGGCGGCGCTGCTGCTGTTGTCGCTTCTGGTGAAGATAGAGCCGGATTCTGCTCGGCATCTGCAACTACAGTTGTTGCTTCCGCTGCTCCTGCTGCATTTTGCGTCTCCGCTGCAGCTGCGGATTTATTAGACTTTTTTGAACTTTCTGCTGTTCCTGACTTGCCAGACGCATTTTTCTTCATCTCCTTTTCCATCTTCTCCATTTGCTTGACATTAGGTATGTCTGGAAAGCTGCTCAACGATAGGTCATCCTCCTCATCGTCCGCCATCTGCAGCTTGTGCCCAATGATGCCCATATAGATAGCCGCCGCCTCCTTCGTCTTTCGCGACGGCCGTTGACTCCGCTGCGGACTGGGACTCACTGATCGTTCGGCTTTGCTTGCCTTTGACTGCGCCTGACGACGCACGGGACGAGCACTCTGGGCCGGCTTCTTGGGCGAGGGCGGCGATGTTTCTGACTCTCCATCTCCTTCTTCCTGCTGTTCAGTTTCCTCTTCTGCTTTCTTTTTGAGCGCTTTTCCTCGCTTCGGTTTGGACTGTTCCGCCTCCGTCTTGCTGGGTGTCGTTGCTTCTGCCTTCTCCTCTTCTCGTTGCTGCTGCTGTTTTTTTGCTGATCCGCCTGCTGACTTGCGCCCACGTGCGTTGCTTGTGGCGGCTGCTGCTGCTGCAGTTGCGCCTGTTCCTGCTGCACTCTTTTTAGCGCCCTTCTTCAGCTTTATGGCTTTGGCCAGTGGCTGCTCATCGTCGGAACTGAAGTCGAATACATTCAGCCCCTTCTGCTGTTCGGTCGCTGTCACAGTTGAGGTTGTGCTTCCGTTTTCTAATTGCTTCTTGGCCGCATCTTTGGCATAAATGCTTGAGTTGGTTTTCTCCTTGCTGATCTCTCGCTTCTTGGTCTCGGTCGCTGCAGCGGGCTTCTTCTGCTCCTGCACCTCCTTTTCCTTCTCCTTTTCATCTTCCGTGTCCGGCTCCTGTTTGGGCGGCACCTTGACGGGCTCAAAAAAAGCCCGCTGGCGTGTCATACGCCCCGACGACTCTGGCGAGGGTATGAATATAGGCGATTCCCGTTGCCGCACCCGCTTCACAGGACCCTTTTCCTTATCCTTGCTGCTGCTGTTCTCGGTCACCGCTGGAGAGACAGCCGCTCGTGATTTTCTACCCGCCGCTGCTGCTGATATTGCCTGGTTGCGTCCGCGTTTGGGATTCGAGTGTGTCGTTTCCGACTTGGTCTCATCAGCGCCACCATTACGTGAACTCGCATCGTGGGCGGAGAAAAACTCATCATCGTCGTCCTCTTCCTCGTCTTCCCCTTGCTGAGCGGAATCATCTTTAGTTTGTTCTGATTCATCTTCCTTTTCCTTATTGCTGGCGCGATTCGAGCGTCGCTTTAAGATCTCAGTGCGCCTGGCGCCTCGTCTATTGCCCTCGGCTACTACTTCGGCACGCTTGCGCACTGCGCCCGCCAGGAGCACAGGAGGAGGAGCTGCTGGCAGAGGCTTCACAGATTCAGTTTTATCACTAGCTGCTTTATCCGCTGTTCCCAGTTCTGGCTGCACCAACTGCGGCTGCTGTTGTTGCTGCGTCTGTTGCTGTTGCATTTGCTCAACTTTAGCTTTAGCTGTGGTTGTTGCCGTTGCTGCTGCTGTTTTGGCTGGTCTGCCGCGTTTCTTTTTGCCAATATTCTTCTTTTTACTGTTGCTGCTGGTATCGCTGGCTGGTGGAGCTTCATTTGCCTTGCTCTTGCCCTGATTCAAGTAGTCCAAATGGGCGGGCAAAGCCGAGGTGCCGCGTAGACAGAGAAATGTGACAAAATCATGTGCCTTGGGACACTTATTTGGCAATATCTCAATCGGTGGTTGGTGGCTTTCAGTGGATGTGCTAGGTCCAGACGCTGCCGCTGAGGATGCTGCTGCTGCTGCAACGTTGACCGCACTGAAACCGCCTGCAGCGGTGGGCGCGCTCTGGCCTTGTGCAAATTTACGCTGCGCCTGCACCTTTGTTCTGTGGGTGTGGGTAAGACATAGATACGCAAAAGACAAGTGTGAGTCGATTTTAATTGGTAACAAATGCAACTGAATACAAATCAAATGCAAAATCAAAGAACAAAACAAAAACGCATCGAATTTCCCAACACGTACACAGCCACACACACGCACAATCACCCCACCCACACACATGGGCACCTGCTCTACCCTAAAGCAACTGCGAATCAGCCCTTGGCCTGTGCAACAACAGCGCCACGAAGCGTGTTCGACAGTGATGCGCTCTTTTAACCGCTAAATAGCTAAAATAAACTGATTTATAACTTTAAAACAGTAATATTATTACTTTTAAATTTTTTTGTTTTCTTTTTTTTTTTTTTGAGAATTTAAAAGACTTCCACCAATACTCATTTGCTGTATTTCAAAATAAATTGTTTTAGAATTATTTTCAATATAAAGCCAAGAACACTGTTGCTTATACAATGTAGCGCACCACACTTCACGTTGAGCAGAGGTGTGGGTGTGACGGGGAGGGCGATATTGCTGTTAGTACATTTAACAGTGACTGCCACTGCGTCGTCATCTCTGTAGAGAATTTACACACATATGCAGTCATCTACGATCGACTAAATAGATAGGGGGAGGCATTGGCTCACCTTTTGGGCATCTCAGGTGATGACTCTATAGCAACGGTCGCCGCTGCCGCCAACGACGATGACGTTGGCGGGGTCTCCGTTTCCTTACGGCGACGCTTGTTGTCTTTTGAGACAACCATTTTGTTGCGAATTTTTCGCGCCTCTTTTTCCCCCAATATTTTTCTCTTTGAGACGTGCAAATACGACCGTTATTAATACACAGTTAATACAAAATTTAATATTTAGATGATAATTGCAATTTGTTTTTATTCCCCCGTACTCAACATTTACATAAACGTACGCAATTGCCAATTTTCCACTGACACTACAAACACTGATTTTGTTGGTGGCGCCTGCACGAAGTTGAAATCATATTTTCGCGTCATATTTTCGTTATTTCACCTAGCCGTACACTTTGTAATTGATATACTAAAATATATATTATTGTCTCACTGTTACTGTTATCGTACACATTATTAGTTTACAATTCACTGGCTGCAGAAAGTTAAATTTTTTATGTGAGATTTTCCATTCTGCTTGCACATAATTTTTTTTCCCCACCGCTTTGCTTTGTGTCCGCCATGACATTAGAGATGTACATATAATTTAAACATCGTCGCTAAACGCATTCTTGACAATCGTTTTGCAGCTGTGTCTGCAGAAGTATATTTATGTCAATTAAATTTGTAATTTGTATATATTAAATTGGTTTTCATTGATATAGAAAATTTTTCTAATATTACACAACAGAAAATTAAAAATTAATATATGGCGTTGTGGAAATATTTGCTTTTGGTTCAACATGTGTTGTATATCGATATTATCGTCAAAAGAGAATCAACATGATGTGCACAAGTGCGCAAACCTATCGTGTCGCTTAATGTATCGCTTTATTTTATCGTTAATTTGTTAACATCCCTAACATTAATCGTGTAGCTTGTGAGTTGACAAAAAATTTTGTAGTAGCAATTTTCGCAAATTAAGACAACGACAAGAAGCTTCACACAATGAGCGAAGGAGCAGGCAATTGGTGTCTTATAGAAAGTGATCCAGGCGTATTTACAGAGCTGATACGCGAATTTGGTAGGTTGAAAGTACAGCGCGCGCTTTTTTTTGCAAGACGTGGATGCTGATGCCGGCATCAAATATTGCTATAAATCGTTCACATATGAATGAAACGTTTTTCTCCGCTATATAGGTTGCGATGGCGCACAGGTGGAGGAAATCTGGAGCTTGGACAGTGAATCATTCAAAGACTTAGAACCGATACATGGTCTGATATTTTTGTTCAAATGGGTGCAAGAAGACGAGCCCGCTGGTAAAGTTGTCCTGGATCGGGATCACATATTCTTTGCCAAGCAAGTGATTAACAATGCCTGTGCGACGCAAGCCATACTTAGCTTGCTGTTGAACCTCAATCATGAGGACATTAAACTAGGCGAAACACTAACTAATTTCAAGGAGTTCTGCCAGTGCTTCGATCCCTACAACAAGGGCCTCACACTGAGCAATGCCTCCCAGATACGCACGGTTCACAATTCATTTGCCCGGCAAACGCTTTTTGAGCTGGATATGAAGAATCAAAACAAGGATGAAGATGTCTATCATTTTGTTGGCTATATGCCCATTGCCGGGCGTCTGTATGAGCTGGACGGTCTGCGCGAGGGACCCATTGATTTGGGCGAGATCAAGCCAGATCAAAATTGGATTGATGTGGTGCGACCGATCATTGAGAAACGCATGCAGCGCTACAGCGATGGTGAGATACATTTCAATCTAATGGCACTGATCTCCGACAGACAGCGAATCTATGAAAAACAAATTGAAAAACTGCTCAATCCGGCTGCCGATGCCATGGACACTGCAGAAGATCGTCAGACTGAAATCAATAGCTTACGCTCGTACATACAGTACGAAATTGAGAAGAAAAAACGATACAAGGCAAGAACAAATTTCGATTCATATTTTGTTGAATATGTTAATAATTAAACTCTCTCATTGCAGATAGAGAACGTGCGACGCAAACACAACTATTTACCGTTTATTGTGGAGCTCTTGAAAATGCTGGGCGAGACTGGGCAATTACTGCCCATCTATGAGAAGGCCAAGCAGCGGGCGCTGGAGCGCGAACAGAAAATGAGCAAAAAAGAAACAAATTAATTGGCGTTTACCAACACTCTCTTGAAGAGCAATTCAAAATTGCGCGCGCTAGTTGGGAAAAATATACAAAACATATTCTTATTGATCTATTTAAGTAAAACAAATCTTTTTTGTTAAGGCGTCGCGTGTGTGTGTTAGTTAAGCCACCCAAATAAACTGCCTTGTATCGTATTTTAGCTATTTTGTACCCCTCAAGAATGTCTATAAATTGCTGCAAATTAATATTCGTATAAAGAAAACATAATTTTGAATCAATGAAATAAAATGTTTCCGTACAATTAACAGAGAAACAAAGCGAGTGATTGGCGTTTTAGTATATAATATATTTGTTTATGTTGTTTTTATAAACTATATATATATATATATATATATATATATATATATATGTGTGTGTATATATATATTCACGTATGTATATTGAATTTACAATTGCTATGCTTGGTATTTGATTCTTGCGTTTCCGTTTATATTATTATTATTATGTATCTATATTGTTTGTTGTATATAAGTATTGTATATAGGAATAATTGTTTTTGTTAATCTTCTATGTTTTTGCTCTACTGTTACTTTCAGTGTTGTGCTTATTTGTATGTGTGTATGTGTATTTATTATGTATTATAAATGTTTGTTCACTCAACTTATACTCTATATGCTATAGTTGATGTGTATATGCATATTAGGGAACTTTCTTGGGAGGTCTTTGATTTATTTTTGAATTTTGGTGTTGCACTTATAATCTATCTTAACTCTCTACACTGTATATGGATATATGTATGTATATATATAAATATTTATATTATGCTTGTTTAACTTTTGGAAAACGAAAGGAAAATTATTTTTTTCGGAAACCGAAGCACGATCTACAAATATATATACCTCTATAGATAGGCCAAGTGTTGCCATATGAACTGCTTCCTATTGGATTTCCTATGTGGCTTACTAATTGGAATTGCATTCTAATTACCTTTATGTTAATTTCAATTTGTTACACTAACTTTTTCTCTATGTTACTCATATTTTCTTTATAATTTAGCACTTAGTTTTGACTTTAATTACTTAGCATCATTTCGCTTAACAATTTTCCTCATTTTGCGTATAATTTTGTTTGTTTTTGTTTTTATTTTTCGTTTTGAAGACACAACAGTTACTGGTCCAGTTCCAGGAAGTATATGTAATATGTATGCGTGTGTAGGTGTATTTCTTGATGTTGCTGCTGTTATTATTATTATTGTTGTTGCTGTGCAACGCTAAGGATTGCTTTTACCGTGGCACATAACTGTATGGCGATTCGCTCTGCTGTGGTGTGGCTGCAGTCAACGCAGCAAAGGCGTGTTGTGGGCGCGGCGCTTGCGTAATCAAAGAATGCTGCGGTGCTGTTCCAATTGGCTGAGATACTTGGGAAGTAGAATCGAACGTTGTTAGATCGACACTTGTTGCTGTGTAAAATGAGAAGAAAAGGTGAACAAAAATGGGCTTAACATTTGTTCATAATAGTGGTGCAAAAACGACTATTTTCGAAAAATGAGTGTTATTATTAGCTAATATTTTACAAAATTATCGAAAGGAAAATTTAACGAACATGGTTTACCAGCCGCATGAAGACGATTATAAAGGTTCTTGCGTTTCTTTTTTAAAAGTGCATCCAAATTGTAGCTATCCGATCCGGCTCTAATAAATTGAAATACAAATATTTTATCATTTTAATACACGGATCTAGGTTTGTTGACTTTGCTCACTTGTCCGGTCGGCCATTCCCCAGCAACTCCTTAAATGCCACATATATCTTGTTTAGCGTCAGATTGGATAGCCCCTGGCCCAGATATCGTACAAATTTAAGTTGTTCACATTTGGATAAAGCGCTCTCGTGGAAGTCCAAAAAGGGTCGATGATCGGATATCTGATATTCCTAAATTATCAAACAAGAGTAAATAGAAATCTGTTAAATAATGCGTTTCATTTTAAGGGTCGGCTAGAGTTTTGTTCTATGCTCTAGGAATGAAGGTGAAATTTTGAAAACTACTGAAATTCATAATGAATAATGCCAATGTGTATATATTCATTTATATATAGCCAATTATGGTAGAGGATCGAGGCTCAAGAACAAATCTCCGCTGAACACAACGGCCAAAGGCTCTGGCTGTTTGGGAGGAGCACGTCGTCGATACACAATTGCTCACATTGCAGAACTTGATGAAATTCTCGATGAGTATGCACTTTTCATAATTGCTCAGACATTGCTGGCTACTACTCTGTATACCGAACTGTTTCAATAGCTCCTGCTTCTTGGGCGGCAGGCGGCTGATGTGAGTGCAGACGCCATCTTCGATGCGATGCGTCTCATGCACATTGAAATTCTCATAGATGATCAGCTGTTCCAGCGCACGTGGCGGCGGTCCTAGTGGCGGCAGCGACGGTGGCGGTAACAGGGACATCGACGCCGGCGCCACACAGCCATAGCGAGTGTCCAGGGATTGAGAAGAAGCCGCGGCTGCTGCTGCTGCTGTTACATAGTTGTTAACAGTGTTGCTGCTGTTACTGGTGCTGCTGCTACTGCTGTTAAGACTGCTGCTGCTGCCGTTGTTGTTGTTGTTGTGGTTGCTGGTGCTATTGGTGCTGCTGGTGCTGCTATTGCTGGCAAACTCGAGCGTGCCGTCATTGGCGGCCGCCATATTCTTGAGGTCTACAAGAGAGAGTTGCATTTTTATAGAGGGAGAGAGTGAGAGAGAGAAAGGCAACACGACGACCGAATGCTAAAGAAATGTGACGCTTGGCTAGCACAAATGCAGGCAAACGCGAGAGCAGGCATAATAAAAAAGTCAACATATTTTTGTTCGTTTTTGCTATGTATGTATATATATGTATATTTGTTGCAAACAAAATTTCGCTTTATATGTTTTGTATATATGTAGAGGTTGTATATATATAATAGTATATATATATTTAGGATGGGTTTAGCACATATATATTATTTGTTTATGGCTTACTAAAATATATATTCATTACTATATATATATATATATATATATATATATATATATATATGTCTAAATAATATTACTTTCAATAGTTGCGCATTAGCTTGATTCTCTATAATGACAGTTTACATGTGTGTTTTGTGTGTTTGTAATTGTAATAATCTCTTTTCAAGGAATAACATTGCATAGTTCAGGGCGCGTTTATCGTCCAACAATTTAGTCGTATAACATAATACATATTAAAAAATTTGGCAATAAGCGTGTAAAATTAGACTACAAACGAAATACATATGCTACGAGCAAAACAGAAGACTTTGTAAATGGGACAGAGACAACATGATAATAATATAAAATAAAACCGAATGGTGTAAATAGAAGAGTTAAAAGCTAATAATAGTTGCTGGGGCATTCGTGATTAATTTCCTCTTTTTATTTGTAGGTAGCTGGAGCCGCCAATGATTGTCAACAGGTGGCGCCATTGCCGCCATATTTGGCGCCACGCCGACGCCAGTCTCACATATTGGGCGGCAGTGCATGTGGCGGCGGCGGTGGCGGTGGCTGAGCTGATGTTGGGGGCGCCGTTGGCGCCACCTGTTGGCCATAGCCGTGTGGCACTGCCATATGAGCGTGCGGATGTTGATGTTGATGCTGATGTGGATGTGGATGCGGATGTGGGTGCGGATGTGCATGTGAATGCGGATGTGGTGGCGGCAGGTTGTAGTGCGGATGATGTGGATGTGCGTAGGCAAAGTGATGCGGATGCGTATGCGGATGCGGATGTTGCTGTGGATGTGTATGCGAATGTGGATGCTGATAGTGAAGTGGATGCGGTGGCGCATGATGCAGATGCTGTGGATGCTGTTGCTGTTGATGATGCGCCGTCAGGGGTGGTCCACGCGTGGGCGTGGATGATTGTTGTTGTTGTTGCTGCTGCTGCTGCTGTTGTTGTTGTTGTTGTTGCAGGTGATGCGGTGCATGTTGTTGCATTAGATGCGTATGTGGCTGGCTAACTTGCGTTGTGGGCGTGCCAGGCCTGGGCAGGGGTGTGCCATTGGGCGCTGTTACTAACGGTGACTGCGACTGCGGCTGCGGCTGAGGCTGCGACTGCGACTGCGACTGCGCTGCTTGCTGCGTGTGTAAATGTGTGCTGCTGTTGCCTGTTGCGTGAGAGTTGTTATTGTTGTTTGGTGTTGTTGTTGGTGTTGTTGATGCGGCTGGTGCTGCTGGGGCTGCTATGGGCGATGATGGCGCTGATTCGCATTGCTCGTGTGTTTGTTTCAACTGTGTGGATGTTGTTGTGTTGGTCTTGTTACTGTTGTTGTTGTTGTTGGTATTTTCGCCTAGTGATTGAAAAGCGTATGCGTGTAAAAAGAAGTAGAAGAAGAAGAACACAAACAAATTGAAAGTCAAAAATTAAAAAATTATTTCTTGCTTCAGTTTTTTTTTTTTTCTTCGATTTCGATAGAGAGCAAAGATAGGCAGCCAATTATTCATTTCAGATATTTTCTTTTTCAGTTTTTAGTTTTTTTTTTTTTCATTTTTCGAGAGAGCGAAACAGAAAGTGCATATGAAGAACCAAAAAATAGTATATATAGAGCAAATGAGAAATGTGAAATGAGAAAAATGCAAAAATAGAAGAAAAAGAACATATCATAAACTTAAAAAAAAAAATGTAAAATAGAAATTTGGTTTTTGCTTTTTGTGTATATATTTTTAAAATTTAGCACATTTTCGCTTGAAACTATTTTTGAGGTTATTTTTATTTATTTTTTCTCTTTTATTTAGCTATATTTATATAGATTCTTTTCGCCTGTCTTTAAATTTTTTCTTCGTTGCTGCATTTGCACTATAAGAATTTTGTATATATTTGGAGAGGGGAGAGAGGTTCAGAGTGTCTTACCAGCTGTTGTGTTGGCCAGGAAGCGCTTGGTCTTATCGAGTATATAAGGCAGATTGTAGCCATCCTTGGTATAGCTATAGAATATATTTAAAAATATACATATATATATACATATTTACTGATATGCAGATTGTACACTTACATTTCTGTGCGTTTGGTGCAAAATAGATTTTTAAAATTGCTATAAATGCAGAAGAGCGTAAACGTTGGCAACCCTTGGCCCAAATAGCGTGCGAATTTGATTTGCTCAGGTTTGTTGAGGCCACACTGATTTAAGGACAACCAGGGTCGATGATCCTTAATATCGTATTCCTAAAATATATATATAGATGTATTTTAAATACATTTCCTGATACTCTTAAAAGTATGCTACATAATCTGTGATACAAAACATCCTTTTTGCACATAACTTATGTTTTTTTTATAATATACATACAACAATTTATAATAAATTAAATAATTAATAGTCACATAATCAGATTCTGGTAGAAGAAATATGTATATATATATAGTCTGCGTACAAATCTTATGCATATAAACTAAACTCTTTTTGGTCTCAGAAAGTATTCATTATATGCCTTATCAAACATCTTTTATACTTAGACAAACATTTGTTACTTATTAAACCCGAAGGAAACTTATTTTGTATAAATAAAATATTCACATACCAAGTTTCATTCCAGGAATGAAATCCTCTTTTAGCTGAACCCCCTTTTTCATACATATTATAAAGCTGAAACTCATTTCCTGCATATAAATGTTTCTATATATTAGATATAACTTATATACTTGTGTACACCTACATATATTTAGCTAAGCTCAACCACCGAGTGGAAAACCCACACACGTACATTTACATAAATATGTATGTACGTATACATATATACCTATACTAATGCAAATGAAAACTTTGCCCACTACTAATCAAAACTTATAATTCGTGTACAACAAAAAGTTGTAAACGAAAATTTTACAAAAGCCAAAAACTTGCAGACCCCAAAATGCAAACACAATCATAGAAAGGACTCTGCGCCTAAAAGCATGCCATACACACAATCCCACACAAACACATGCAGCCCCATTACCAGCCCCAGCCCCAGCCCCACACGCACACACACTCGCACAATGTATATTTTATAGTGTAAAAATATAAAATAAAGCAAAAACGGGAAAGAGAAAGGCACCAACAGCAGCAGCAGCAGCAGCAGCAGCTAAAGCAAACCCAAATAGAAAAGCAAACAACATTTTCAATGAAGCCATTTTCAACAATGTTGGCGAGAGAAGAGCGGGGTACAAAGTGGAACTTGTGGGAGCTAAAAGGGTTGTCGCCTGCACATGGGCTTGGGTGTGCATGTGTGTGTTTAAAATAGGCGCAGCAGCTTGACGGACGTCTGTGTCCGTATTCGTGTCTATGTGCCTGTGCCTGTGCATGTGTGTGTGTGTGTACTTTGAGAGTCAACAAGCATCGCCGACTCGTGCTCGTGAGCTCGTTCGTCGACAGCGACAGCGATGTCGACGTTAAAACTTATCAACATCCTCATAATCAGCGCGACGCCAACGTTACCCACCCAAAGCATCAGCCTGCTGACTTCTAAGCATATATGGCAACGCTGTCGAAAATGCCCACATGGGTGTGTGTGCATGTACTTATAACTGTATATGTGTATGCATGTGTGCATACATTTGGGGTTTTGATTATGTTAAAAATCAATAGAGCAAAAAGGAGTGACGACGCCCAGCCACTGAATACTAGCATGCTGCAGCAGTAGAATGAACACAAAGAGGAGAAGGAGGTGTGGAACAAGTCAAATTTACCAAAATACTTAAATCTTGACTTTATGATTGTGTGTGTATGTGTATGTCAAATTATGAGCGAAAGAGAGAGATTCAGACCACGAGTAACCAATTCAACGCCTTTTCAATGATGACAGGCCCCTTCAGAGGTGTTGGCCGTGAAGAGGGCAGCGTGACGGTGACGACTCATTAACAGCAGCATGCGTGCAAGAGAGAAAGAAAAAGGAAGAAAGACCACAAAAATGAGAGAGTAATATAGGTGAGAGAGAGCCGAGCTTGGCTGTCAAGCCAAGTGTTGCTGTTGCTGTCTCTGCTTGATTGTTTTGGCTGCAGCGATGTGTGGGCGGAAGCGGGAGGGGTAGCGTTTTGTGTGTTTACATTCCTGTAGCCGCTTAACTGTTTCAAAAAAAAAAAAAATAATAAAGAAAAAGTAAAAACAAAAGAGAAACAAGCAGAAAGAATGAAGGCAGCAATGGCAATGTGTTGCGGCATTGTGCTCTTGCTTTTCCTTTTATTGTTTTGACTGTTGTTTTTTTTTTACTTCTTTTTTTGCAACTTATTGACAGCACGCAGACTGTGTTTGTGTTTGTGCGTGTTTGTGCGTGACGTATCCTGCCCAGCTCTCTGGCTTCGTGTGCGTGTGTTTGTATGTGGCTGCGTGTTTATGTGTGGCGGCTTGCGGTTGTTGTCTGTGGTGTGTGTGAGTTCTGTCTATGCGTGTGTGTGAGCGGTGTGATGCAGCTTGTTGTTGTTTTTATTGAGACAAGTGTGAATTGTTTTTCTTTCTGTTTCTGTTTTCCTGCTTGTGCGTGCAACAACAGTTGTTCGTGCTGCCGTCGCCCGACAATGATTTTTTGATTTTTGAGGGTTGCGTGTGCGCCCCAGCGTGCTTATGTGTGCGTGTGTGTGAGGGGAGGCAACCATTTTCACACTTTCACTCTTTGCGTTTAACAGGTTTTTAACAACAATTTGAGCGACGCACGTGTGAAAAAAGGGTTGCAAACGACTCATTAATTATTGCCCACATAGTCGTTTGCCTTAACATTTGTAGATGAACTTCTTTGGAGCCTTCATTAATGTACCCAGTAGAAGGGTAGAACATAACCTCATATTTTGCTAGTCAGCTAATGCTATCACTATCCATGTGAATTAATATTTATATATGTATGTATATGTTTCACATTTTTGGCAATAATCTGCATATGCTCATACCCTTCCGTGCGACCCCTTGTATTCGCCTCGTTATACAACACTAATTTAATGCGGCCCCAAAGGCGGCAAAAACGACGCATAAACCTAAATATTTTATATCCATCTGAATGTGTGTGCGTTTGAATGTGTGTTGACAGTGGATACAGATACAAATACATATACATGTATTATATATAGTCATCATATAAGTTTGGCAAGTACAGTTATTCGTATATAAGTATGTATTTACATTGTAATTTATGTCCATATGTATGTACATATATATAATTTAAAATTATAATCAATGTACATGTATTTCACAGTTGCTGTTTCTGTGTGAGCGCGTAAATTGTGCGAGCCCGAGACATTGTACCTGCCCTAGCCAAACGCCCAACGTCCTGCGGCCCCCTATACGACCCGTTCTCATCCGCAGCTGAAGCTGCTGTCCCTTACACACCCAAAAATGTATATGTATGTTTACATACATACACACAGATTGGCAAACTTATTGCATATGTGTATTGGTGACTGCGCTGCTACTGCATGCGCATTTAGTAGCCTTCAACGACGCCGCTAGGGTACCACACACCTAAAATATACATATACATATAAACAAACATACACACATACACGCATACATACATGTACACGAAAGGACATACGAAGGCAACTCAATGGACAGTCCAACAAACGCCCCAAGTAACTTGATGATTGTATATATGTATGTAACACAAGAGAGAATGTGTGCGAGTATGTGTGTGTGAGTAAGAGAGAGAGAGAGAGAGCGAGAGAGAGAAAGAGAGGGGCGCATATACAATTACTCAATAGCGCCCGCTTGAGCTTTTTGGGGGTTGCCAGACCCACTTACCCACACATAACTTTACACACACACATACATATACAAAACTTTGTAGTTTGAGCAGGCAGCTATCGCTGCCACTACCACCGCCACCGCCTGTTCCGCTGCCACTGCCGCCGACGATGCTCCCTGTAAGTAAAGTTCTTACTGGCAAAGGAGTGAACACTGGCGCGAGTAAGAGAGAGAGAGCGCAACAATTTTGAGTTAAACTGGAAGGGAGAGCAGAACGACAACATCAAAGCTAGGCATCTTAAAACTAAAATGTTGTAATAGCGGCCGAAGGGCCGAGAAAGCAGCCATGTTGAAATAAGGTTAGGCTCTAGCTACTGCTCATGTTGTTGTACTTGCTCTTGTTGTTGTTGCTGTTCCTGTATTATGCCATCAATGCCGTTTTGTACATAGTTTGAGTGTGTGGGTTGTGCGGGTGCTGCTTCGACCAAATCTAGTTGATTGTGTATGTGTGGGGCTGTGTGTGTGTGCGTTCCGATAAAGCTGAGCGTAATGAGCATGTGTCAGTGTGTGAGAGTTGGGAGGGTTGCCTAGCATAGTGTTGAAAAGGCGCCAAATGTGTTGGAGTGAGTTGTCTGTATATATCTCTGCATATATATATATATATGTGTGTTTACATACAAATGTACATGCTTATGTTTGGCTGTATGTAGGTGTTTAGAATACACAGACACACATTGGTGCCACACATGATTACAGTTGTATTTGTATGCTGAATTTGTGGTTGGCCCCGCTCTGTCGACGCTGGCGTCTCTGCTGCTGTTATTACAATTTATAATGACATTCGTTGGGTGAGCATGTGTGTGTGTGTGAGGGAGTATGGGTTTGATATATGTACATATGTATGTATGTGGGCGGCATATAATAGAGTGAGAAATGCGCTTGTGTAAAGGATATGAACGGTGTATCCGCGTTATGAATATATATAAATATATATGCATATATACATACAATATATATTCAGATATTCTGTATATGTTAGCAAAAATCAAATTCTATTCATATATGTACATATATATATTTGTATCTGGCATATGTACTATAATGACAGAGCGAATGTTGAACAGTAATTGAAATTGGAAAAATAAATGAATTTCATATTGTTGGATTTGTTTAATTAAGATATCTGCATCTGCATCTATCTATAGAATTTTATGAAAAGAACCGCTGTTGTCTAGTCTATGAGGTCTTTATATACTATACACCAAGTTATTTAACAAACTCACCTCGCAAAATTTGATGAAATTTTCGACCACAATCGATTTATCCGTCAATGTCATTTGTCCCGTGAATCGTACGCCCAACTGCTTGAGGGTATCCTTCTTCTTTGACGGCAACTTGTTCATGTGCTGGAAGATGCCCTCCTCCACCTTATGCGAGGGGTGTACATCGAAGTTCTCCTTGATCACAAAGCTACCCAAAAGCTTGGGCGCGCCACCAGCGCCCGAGGCCGCCGAGCATCCAGATCCACCCAACAGTGCACCGAATTCTGCTGCACTGCCGCAATGCTCCTCCGAGGAGGTATTCGAGTTGGAAGCATTCAGATGGGAGCTGGGAAAGGCGAGTAACTCCAGCGAGGACGACTCATTTGAATTGGAGCCATTCGAGCCGTTCGAGGTGCTCGTCAAATGTTGCAGCTCAAAGATTGTTTGCTTCGAATCGTGATCGAAGACGGCGTCCAGGGCGGAGGTGCTGGCGTCCAGGCTGTTGGAAGAGCGCGATACGGAAGACAGCAGCGCGGCAACTTTACGTGAGGCCGAACGTGATTTTTGCGATGGGTTTGCCGAGTCCAGATCCAATAAACCCACACTGCAGCCACCATTGCCACCAGCACCACCGGCGGTGGCGCCCCCTGGCGGCGGTGTTGTAATCCTGCCCGGTCCAATCAATTTACTGCTCTTCTCTGCCGGTGCTGCCAATGCTGCGCTGTCAACTGCATCGCTGCTGACGTTGACGCCGACGCCGACGGAGCTATTGCTCCCACTGACACCGCTGCTGCTGCCGCTACTGGGCGTAAAGTCCGTGGAGTGACGCAGATATTTGATAAACTCAAAGGAACCATCGAAATGCTGAGCGTTGGCAGCAGCGGCAGCGGCGGCGGCAGAGGCGGGCACGTGTCCGTTTGGCGTTGCCACCGCTGTCGGCCAACGGTTGTTGGGCAACGGTGTGCTTAGCACTGCCGGCGTTTCCGCAGCTTCCCGCTGCGCCGGCTGCAACTGCAACGTCGCTGCCGTCTCAAATCCGAGCTCTGCGCCTCCGACGCCGATGCCATTTGTGCATGAATACTGTGACTGTGGTTGTTGTTGCTGCTGCTGTTGTTGTTGCTGTTGCGTTGACTGAGCAAACACTTGAAATTCTTCGAAATTCGAGCATTTCAGCTCGCCATTGCTCAAGTACTTGGAAAACTCTGAAGGATCGTTCAAGGAGTTGAGAAAGAATGAGCTAAAATTGCTCGATATGCAGGACATTTTTAATATTATTTTTTCTTCTCTCAGTTGTTGCTGCTAATACTGTATATATAATAACGCTTATAAATATATATGTGTATATATGTATGTATTTATTTATTATATTTTGTTTAAAGCTGCTCCTTTTGCTTAATTATAGTAGTAGTTGTTGTTGAAAATGATGGCACATTGAATGTTGTTGTTCACTTTTATTTATTTGCTGCTGCTTGATTTCTTTTTCTTTTCCGCTTGCTTTTTATTTGCGCAGCCTAACTGTTAATAATTTACACACACACGCACACATACAGCTGCATATCTGCGCTGCCGCGGCCACTGCGCTGATGTTTCGAAATTTACTTTTAGTTTTCCATTTCCAGCGTTTTTCTTGCGTTCATATTTTATTACAATTTTCCCCCACACACACACTCACAAGAAAAACATTACTTGCACATGTGTATGTGTATGTATGTGTATATAAATTTTTCTTCTTATTATAGCAAAAGCAAAGTGTAATTTATTATTCTTATAGCTCGCTCCGCTGCTGCTGCTGCCTCTGCCTCTTTCTCTTTCTCTGCCTCTCTCACTGCCTTTCGCTCCTTGAGACGGCGACGCGGCCTTTTCACCGTATGTGGTCGCTTCTTGTTGTTGTTGCTGCTGTAGCACTGTCTTGGCTAGCATGTGCACATGTGTGTGTGTATGAATATCTGTGAGTGTGTGTGTGTACGTTCAATTGCCTGCCACTGCCATTGCCCCTACTCCACACTCAAAACTATCGCGGGCTCTTTCGCTCACACACAAACACATAGCATATGCACTGCTTCTGCCAGGCGGCTGCGGCGCGTGTGTTGCCCTGCAAATAGGCGGCGATTTCAAACTGGTCTCTGGGCCCGTCTTTTGGCTATCTTATTATAATAATTCTTTTTTCGATTGCTTTATATTTTTGCACTATTTTCACTTGATTATGCTTCCTTCTTCGTGATATATCGTTTCAAAACATATATGTATATGTACACACACACATTCACGTACAATCACAAACATAAGTTAGCGAGGTGCGGTCGCGACGTTTTGGTTTATATTTCGTTTTCCTCTTACTTTACTTTCAAAACAAATGCCGCCCATACGTTGTGTTGTGCCGTCGCCTAGCGGAAAACGGACAACGGAAAATCTTCTGTTGTATTTTCACCGCTGTCTAGTGGGAGCAATGCGACGTAACCGTACCGCACTCGAATGAGAACTGAGCGGAAAACTGAGCGCGCTAGTTAATCTGTGCATGTTCTCTCTCACCATCTCAAAGCATGTTCGCTCTCTATCCCTCTCTCGCTCTTTCAGTGCGCTCAAAACATGTATGTGTGCGTTCGTGTGATTGAATATGTGTGTGTAGCGCGCGCTCCTTGTAGTTGTAATCAAAATCAGTTGTTCGTTGTAGTTGTTGCTGATTTGTTGTTGTTGTTGTTGTTGCTGTTGTTGTAGTTGTTGTAGACGTGCCTCAGCGACTAGGAAACGTGTATTTCTTCCTGTGACAGGCTGTTTTTGCTCTTTTTAACCCTTCCATATAAACCTGATTTAATCTTTGATTATTATGCCTGCTTGCGTCGTTGTTGCTCTTGGCGCTGCCTCTGCGGCTGCTGCTCTGGAGGATTATGGTTGCCTTTCCTTTGCTATTTTCGAAAATTCCACTAAATTATCCGTTGTGTTGACTATACATACGCTTGTATGTGTGCAGGTAAAACAGTTCATTTGCCTAGAGTTGCCATACACTGCAGCATTTAGCGAGACCACCTGGAAAGCAGAAAATATTTTTTTTGTATTAGTTGTTTCATGTTTTTGGTATTTTTCATTTACAATATTTTCGTAAAACGCCGCAGGCCAGTTTCGACACATTAAAAATAAATGGTTTGCAAGCGAGAGCAACGAAGCAGGTAGCAGGTAAAGAGATACTCAAGGCCACAACAAAAACATAAAGCATGGCTGCAATTTGCGCATGCTGACAACCCTGGCAGAGTCACTAAATAGGATAAGCACCCACACATCCCTCCTCTTGCCCCTCTCCCATTCTCCTACTACTGACTTAAGCCGCAGCGCGACTTTTTGCAAAAATTTATGGCCATTTAAAATTTTGTGCAAAGAATTTTTATAGTTGTTTTATGCATATACATCCATATATATATTATATATATACATATATATATTTTTTTAATATATTATAGATACATTTTTGTATACAGCTATGTACATTCGCCTTTTGTTCAATAAATATAATTGCTATTTCAGACGGTTTTAATTATAAATAGAGCGCGGCAGGGAAGTCATCAATTAAGCAAGAAGAAAAAACAAAATAACGTACACTATGGCTTATTATAATTACCTTTTTGGCTTCTGCTGCTAGTCATGTTCTTTTTTTTGGCACAAGTTTGCATTTAAATTTTTAACGTGCTTTCATTCGACTTTAATAGGCACACAGACACTTTATTTCATTTTTCGATGTTACAACACACTTCTCATATGTATGTGGGTAATTTTTCAATTAATTTTAATTATAAACTTAATTAGGAAATCAATGAACGAATGCGAACGGAACAAACAAACACAATTGGGGAAAAGTCGCACCAACAAGTGCGAGCGAGCGAATGCATAACTAGAACGGTGCGGCAACAAAAACAATGACAATAATACTCAAGTGCGCTGCGCATACAGCAAAAGCATCAGCGTTATGTGCCCCCAGTTAGTTTACTGTTTGAATAACATATTTTGTTGTTGTCGTTGGGCAGGAAAGAACGGACGGCCAAACAGAAATGTAGTTTAACATAATGCGCCACAATAACAGGAACTGTTACGAGCCACTTTGCAACTGCTGTGAAGAAAGAATGTTTCAGCTCAACGAAAAAATTAAATTAAAGCTGAACTCACATTTAGCTATTTATAATTTTTCATTAGTGATTTAAATTAAATTAAATTTTTTTTTTAAATTACAAGCAGCTGCTATACTATCGATAGCTATCGATTGGGTTTCTTATCATGGATTGGCGCAAAACGTGCGCAAACCACAATAAGTAAAAACTCTTCACAATGAAGTTTATTATAAAAAGTATTAGCAAAAATTCCGGACGCCTTGGTCAGTTGCGGATTAAAGACAGCAAGGAGCTACAAACGCCGCTACTGCTGCAAACAACAAAAGGCGGCAGCATTCCATACTTAAGCGCCGATGTTTTCGGAATGGTCACCCAGGAGCAACAAGTGCTGCAGTTGACATTATGCACCATGGATCAAATGGCCGAGTCTTTGGCACAGTGGAACCGCAGCCTGGGCGCCTATGTAGGCTATCCGGAGTACAATACACTGTTGCTGTTGCGCGATCCATGCGAAGCCACTCCAACGGGTGGCAATGATCGGGATGTGGTTCCACTTTTCACACGTCGAGGCAAGGAGTCTTTAACCGCGGAGCGTTATTTGCAGCTGGTGTCCAGTTTTGCGCCGGATGTGTATCAGGGCTTGTGCGATGCGGACACTAATCCAGAGAGCACCAAGAAGCGAGTACAAAAATCGGTGGATCGAACCGAACGTTTTATGGAGCACTGCTACAAGCAGCACAGAGAGCTTGATAGATTGAAAGACTCGACGCTTCTTGCGCCAATTGTGGGCGGCTACAACACATATGCCCGCACACAGTCCATTAAGCATGCACGCGAACAGCCAAAGGGAAGCTACGGTGGCTACATATTTGAGGGATTCCACACCAATGGTTTACCTGCCACGAGACTGAGCCCATCACAACTGCTGCCCATTGTTGAGCATTGTGTGCAACAGATTGAGGAGGAGTTGCCACGCCTGATGCCAGGTCCTTTAACACCTGTGCTAATGTTGGAGCTAATACGCCTGGGCATCGATATATTCGATACCTCCTACGCTTACTGCGCTGCCGTCAATTATAAAGCGCTGACTTTTAGTTACACTATTGATAAGGAGGAACATTCTGCATTTCTAGATGTTACGGATGAGGCGATTAGGGAGGAGTTTAAGCCTATGCTAGAAGGTTGCAAATGCTTGGCCTGTCAGAAACATACGCGCGCCTACGTGCATCATCTATACAAGACGAATGAGCTGCTGGGTCCGATTCTGCTAATGATGTAAGAATGAACCTGCTTTTACTTAGTTTTGTAATGACATATTTTTATTTGACCAAACAGCCACAATTTGCATCATTACATGGGCTTCTTCGATGTGATACGCCAGAGTATAGCAATGGATCAATTGTCATTACTTCTGGATTATGTGAGACGCCAAAATATGCCAAACGATGTCAACTATTGCATTGAACCCAATACCAAAGTAGTGGGTAAGGCGGCCATGGGCAAAGGATTTATCACAGCAGCCAATTAGCTGTCTTACATGATTAAAGGCATAAAATAAAACTTGGACTACTTGAAATATCTTTATATCAAAATAGGCCATAGAGTGCTGTTGCTGCCATCGATGATGCGTTTTGTCTGCCTGTAAGCCGTTTCGAAAGCATCGCCAGTCAGATCCTTGATTCTATCGATCACTACTTGCTCTGTCAGATTCTGCAGTTTCTCCTCATCTGCAATAGTATGTAACAATCGATTTAGTGGTGTATATATAGTGCTATCTACCATCTATCTACTTACCACCCACAGGCAGAAAGCCGACCAACTCGCAGAAGCCAACATTGAATATGCATGCATCCTTGTTTACACAATATTTCGATCGTACAAAGAGGAATACACGCAAATCGTTTGTTTTCCGGTCGTGTGTCATGAATAGATTGTGTGGCAACTGGTTGTTGCATAGCCATTCCGTGATTTGATGAATTTGCTGAACCTTTTCCCTCACATCATCATCGCTGTCCCTTCCGCCAATCACAAAACAAATCGCTTCTGTGGGCTCCTTGTTTTTTAGACGATAAACATAGTTCCCTGCCAGAGGCTTCAGTTCCACATTGTCGATGTATAGCTTGCGTGGTATGTGCAGCAGATGGAAATGTAGATGATTCACTGAAGCCAAAGCACCTGGACTATTATAGCCCAGACGCATATTTGGATCAGTGATATTCCGCATAAATGTAATGCAAAAGTTGAGCGCCGAGCAAGTGATTCGTTGAACTAGTTCCTTTTTCACTTCCGGGCAAATGAGCGTGTGATATTTGGTAATGGGACTCTTGTTGATAATCATCTGCACCTCGGCATTGTCTCTCTCCTCATCTATAGTCATCATCACCTCCATAGCATCCACTTTGTTAAAATTAAATTGTTTGGGCCGAAATGTGGGACTTAAGCTCTCTATGGTTTGTGGCACGCGTCTTTTCAATGTGCGATCCGCATTTAACTGAAAAACAAAATAAACTAAATAATAATTATTGCTAAGATTACTTGGGACGCTGACCTCTGCATAGAAACCACATTTGCCTGGCAATTTGCGTCCTGGCCTGGCCTCTTGGAGCTGATAGGCAA